GCCCATTCCCGGAGTAAGGGGCCCGGAAAATTTAACCTTCCAGTAATTAGGGGTTTTTTTCTCTTAGCATCGTAAGGTTTTCTGTACATTTTTTTTTAGGGGCGCAATTTTATCTGCCTTGAAAGGGGCGTTATGTGCACAATACCCCGCCTAGATAGAAACAAGCGACCAAAAAGGCTCAGGGGGTTGGATCCCCAGTTTTGAAGGGTTCTCATTTTCCATCCTGTTATTTTTCTACACTGCGATTGATAAAATGTTATGGGGGTTTGAATGTGGATTGAATGTTTAGGTCTTTTGAACGTGGTTTTTTCGCCTATTTTTTGGAAGGAATTTGTTTTGTACTCTGATGACGTTTTAATTTCCTCATGTTTACCATATCAGAGTAATTGAAATTTCTCATCCTTAAACTTCATATTGTTTTCTGCAGCCCACTGAAAGATTTGGTTGATGTCCGCCTGGAGCCTTGCAGTGTCTGCAATGGAAGACACTGTCATGCAGATTCGGATGTCATCTGCAAAGGAAGACAGTGCTGTGGCTGACATCCTTGTCTATGTCAGATATGAGGATGAGAAACAAGATGGGAGCGAGTACTTTGCCTTGTGGAACAGAGCTTTTCACCGTAGCCACCTCAGACTTTACTCTGTTGACTACTACTCTTTGTGTTCTGTTTGTGAGGAAATTATAGATCCATCTACCAACTTTTCCTGTTATTCCTTTAGCACGTATTTTGTGCGCTATTACACCATGGTCACACTTGTCAAAGGCTTTTGCAAAGTCTGTATATATTACAACTGTGTTCTTTTTGTCTTCTAGTGCATCTAGGACCTTGTCGTAGTGATCCAGTAGCTGAGAGACAGGAGCGACCTGCTCTAAACCCATGTTGCCCTGGGTTGTGTAATTGATGGGTATCTAGATGGGTGGCAATCTTGCTTCTTAGGACCCTTTCAAAGATTTTTATGATATGGGATGTTAGTGCTATCGGTCTGTAGTTTTTTGCTATTGCTTTACTGCCCCCTTTGTGGAATGGGGCTATGTCTTTTGTTTTTAGTAACTGTGGGACGACCCCCGTGTCCATGCTCCCTCTCCAGGTAAGGTCAATACTACCAGGAGTAGAAATTGAAACAAATCAGACACCAGGAACTAGAGTTTTGCCCCAGCCCACGTTCGAACCTGATCAAAAACTGTATTTTCCAGTAAGCGATCTGATACCAATGTTTCAAAGTTGTTTAATAATTTTTAACAAATTTGCAACTACTCAGAATAAACTTACATGGGATTATTCTTAATATCAGAATAAACCTACATGGTGTTATTCTTAATATGAGAATAAACCTACACAGTATTGTTCTTAAAATCAGAATAAACCTACATGGTGTTATTCTTAATATCAGAATAAACCTACTCGGTATTATTCTTAATATCAGAATAAACCTACATGGTATTCGTTATATCAGAATAAACCTACATGGTATTATTCCTTATATCGAAATCATCATCACTGATCTTTTAAAACTGAGCAAGAAACGAGTTAGTCAGTTACTGACTATAAATGAATATCACAATTTAATGAATAAAATTAGCAAACCCTTTATTGGGCAAGTGGCCATAAAATTAGAAATTCGAATTGAACTCCCTATGGTGGATAGAGTAACTCAATATAAGGTCAATGAGCCTATATAAATGGATTTCTGATGGTTAGTTTTCAAGCAATTGCTAATCCCCGAAGTGCAAAAATTTTCACACTTGCCCAACAAAGGGAGTAAAAATCTGAATGTTGCAAACTTGCAATTGTTAATAAAACACCCAATAACTATTTTTTTAATTTATTATACAAATAGACAATATCAAAAACATAAATGGAACTTGAATCAAAACAGTTTGTATGTATTAGAAAAATATAAAAATGAAACAAATAGCAACATGGACACATTGCAAAGGGATAAAACTTTCAAGTCCCATATTCCTGAGATTCATGAGGAAGACCAATTATTCTATATTGCTAATTGATGGTATGGTAGTCGCTGAAGCAATTTCTATTACTCTTTATGCACAGATTTACTTTGCATACAGAACACTGGAATGAGGATGTGACCAATTTCTTCGAGTGGCTGCAATACTTGCAAGTTGCTTTTTCCCTGCCATTGGCAAGTGGTTTAGAGTTCTGTCAAGCCTAACACTGTCATCAGGCCTTTCTGCACATTGTCCCTTCACAGCTTTCACTATACTGACACCATTGGAAGTACATGGTGAATTACTTGGTGAAGGTCTTGTAGATGTTCTTAGGATGCTGCCTCTAACCTTTTGTCCTTTAGACCTTGCAGTGACAGAGATATCATTCCTGAAATACTTCAGTGGCATACACTTGGTATTTAGTGCTCGAGAATCACGGCAGTAAAGCAGCCATGCATTCACAACAGCAAGATCAAAAACATAGGCAAACACCTGCATGTACCAACGTTTTTATTTCATTGGTGTTCTGTACAGATGCACCAACATGTTACTTTTGTCAATACCTCCCATGTTTGCATTATAGTTCTTGATGACTGCAGGGCACTGTAAGTGGTCTTTGTTCTTTGTAGCCTTGTTATATCTTTCAACAAGACTCACAGGATTGTCCCCAACATCACTTGTCACTAAAGTCACAACTTTGCTGTCCTTCCATCTTACAACAAGGACACCATCATTGTTTTTGAAGCTAGAAGTGCCCCTGTCGACAGTGTTCCTTTTCATTTGTTTGACAGGTATCAGATCTGGCTTACCACATCTATTTTCACGTACTGTTCCAGTGTATCTGCAGTTATACTTATCTCTTAGTAGCTTGACCAAAGGTAGACTTGAAAAGAAATTGTCAGCATAGATTGCTGATGTGTTGGTCTTGTTTATAGTTGCTGCAAGTACCAGAACAATCTTTGTACTTATTGGAAGTTTAGTTTCTTCCTGTGGAAGCTTTATGGGATGGCTGTCAAAAGTTGGTGTGCCTTGATACATGAGTACATCATGTATGATTCCATCTTCACTTGCACGGCAAAAAAGTTTGAAACCCCACTTATCTGGTTTGGTTTTGATGTACTGCCTTAGGTTTCCAGCAGTTTTACCCTTGAAACCAACCATGACTTCATCAATAGATTGCTTGGGTGTAGCTGGAACATTCAAGCAAGCATTAGTTAGTGCAGTGTAAAGAGGCCTTACTTTGTGGAATCTGTCATTATCCTTTTGTGTGTTGTCATTGAAATGAATAGTACGTCTAAGTAACCTAAACCTCTTAGACCCCATGGCTTCTGCAACCTGGGGGATCCTAAATGCAGTTTTCCAATAGTCTTCGAGTGATGATTGAACAATACCCATGAACAACAAAATACCTATGAACCTCATGATCTCTTCAGAATCTGTTGCAAAATTATTATTTATGTTTTTTTGCTTGGAATACAAATTTGTTTGATATGCTATGTTATCTACCATGTCTGGAGTAAAGAAAATACAAAAATACTCACATGGAGACCTAATTACATGAGGCTTTTCATGTTCATATGCCGGCAAAGGATCATTTTTTATGTCAACCTGAGATGGACCTTGAAGAGCAATATCTTCATAAATATCTTCCTCATCAGGGTACTCCTCAATCGTAATACCTTTCTTTTTCTTCACTAATTTCTGCTTTTTGGCTGGCCTTTCTTCCTCCTCATCATCACTTGACACCTCTGCATCCGGTGGCAAGTATTCATCACCACTATCCAGCAATTCTGGGTCATCTACCTCTGGTTCTGAGTCAATGTCATCCAAAATGCAGACATATTTCAACCTGGTGCTGGAGGGCTCCCCATAAAACAATTTCTCATTGATCTAAAAGGACAATAAAAACCTTTTGTACAGATCCAGACCACTACAGAATTCATATATGCAAGAGAATTTTTTTTATAAATATTTATTTTACTGAAATTGTACTATGTCACTTCTCGGGCAGGTACGAAAAATTTCGTACTTCCTTTGTTCCACTTTTTTCAACTGCATGCTACACCCACATTATGCTTCACACGGACTTTATGTATATATCAAAATATGCCTAAACTATTCATGTACGCACTAAACACAACAATCAGTACTTACCTACATTGTAGAAGGTAAAATCCAAGAGTATATTAGTGACACTGGATGGAAAAAACCCACTCTGGGCAATGCCAAGCCACAAGTGTTTATGTTTTGATCTCTCAACCAATGGGAAGGTGGCAAACGCCATCATCACTTAGCTGAAGCGACTCAGGGAAGGCTTGTGATTGGTTAGAATTAAAGAACAGGAATCCAGATGCGCGTTCGTGTAGGATGACACGCGTAAAGGTGCACATGTTTAAGTAAGAAAATTTTCGGATCTGCGTGGTAAAGGGTTTATAATATATATATAATATTATGACATATACCACTAAATAATAGCAAGAATTGTGCGTTAAAGAAACCACACTATAGGAGAAAATTTTGAAGTTAGTTAAGAGAAGAATTCTCCAGTTATTTCACAGATTTCAACACATGCAGATTTTTTCACCTATTTTAATATACTGGTAAATTTGCCTACATTCCGATATATCGGAATGACCCTCAGTTTTCAGCTTTTAAACTGATTATAATAAAAATAATAATGTAATGCTGGAAGTTATCCGAGCAATTCAATATTCTAAGTTACTTGATTAAGAAGTATCTAAACTATAGTTAAATATTCCTCGACTGTGAACGAATTTTTAGAATTATAGACCAGGACTGCATATATTAGCTCTGACAGAGTCTTTACAGTATTCTTGAATTATTAGCAATTTGTTCGGCTGTCAAATCTTATGTTTTTGTTTTGTTTAATTGCTTTTAGAATTATTTAATTATTTAGAATGTTATTAAGCAAAAATTTTCAGAGGTTCTGTTTTGGAAAATCTGAAAGTTTCAAGTCTTGAAGATTTTCCTTCAGTTTAATCTGAAGTTATGGAAAAAAAAATTTATATTTTTGTAATGTTCTTGAAATATTAAATAAATAAACTATTTATTTCTTTGCTAAGGTTACAGTGTGTGCTTACATATCATAATATGACTGGAGCAAATAAAGCAGAGGTATTTTGGGCAGCACTTGCAGAATTATTGCTTTGTTTTAGTTAACACCAATTAAAGGATGATATAAGAGCACTGATGAAAGACTCACTCAAACAATATGATGCGACCTCCTCGTTCAGCGACGGACCAGACGCTACCAACACCACCAACATCAGTGGTACAGATGATCACAACCAGCAGCATCCCGATGAGCAAAATCAATGTCTGTAGCACATCAGTGTAAACAACAGCCTTCACACCTCCCTGTGGGACAATTATATCAGTAACATAATCTATAGCACATCAGTGTAAGCAACAGCTTTTCCAATTTCCCTTGGGACAGAAATATAATATTAACACCGTCTGAACTTTTCAAGAAAGGTGCATGAAAGTATTATATAAAATATAAAATCCACGAAAACTCACCTTGTGCTTAGCAAGAATTCAAAATATAGCCAAACATGTCTGCAGATCTTCATTTTCCTTATTAGTTTGATTTCAGACATGACAGAATTGCAATGAAAGTCCCTTAACTTAAGCTTTCACATCAATCCATTCACTGAAAACATTCATAACAAAATTCAAAATATAATAACATACTAATATACAGATTACCGCATGGAAGATTGAAGTCAACGAAGAAATGTGGTAACTTTAACGTAATAATCACAAGTTACTTATCACTTGGGGTGATCATAACACCGAGCATGTCTCCGGAGACACACATCAACCAGATAACTGCTGCAGCATATGGGCGCCTAGCAAACCTGAGAATAGCTTTCCGGTACCTTAGTAAGGAATCGTTCAAGACACTGTACACTGTGTACGTCAGACCCATACTGGAGTATGCAGCACCTGTTTGGAACCTGCACTTGATCAAGCATGTCAAGAAATTAGAGAAAGTGCAAAGGTTTGCAATAAGGTTAGTTCCAGAGCTCAGGGGTATGTCCTATGAAGAAAGGTTAAGGGAAATCGGCCTGACGACACTGGAGGGCAGGAGGGTTAGGGGAGACATGATAACGACATACAAAATACTGCGTGGAATAGACAAAGTGTACAGGATGTTCCAGAGATGGGATACGGAAACAAGGAGGCACAATTGGAAGTTGAAGACTCAGACGAGTCAAAGGGATGTTAGGAAGCCGCCCAGCCGCCGTGGAGAGAAGACGTCGTCGTTCCCACTCTTCAGTTATCCTGAGTAATTCTCGAGCAGAGCAACTCTGAACACTGTTACTCGAGATTTCTCTTGGGTTATCCTGAGTAGTTCTTGACCAGAGCCGAGAGGAAACTTGCTGGCAGTTACTTCGAGCCCCATCCCATCAAGAGGGTAAGGCGGTGACTTGCTTGCTTGTTCACCCCTCTCTTCCCCATCCCCCCATCCTTCCCCTTCCTCCCATCACACAAACATCTACACTGGCCCACACACTAACACACTACTTACATTGCTATCCTTCTGACTTTCCTATCTTCTTTTTCGGCAACTTCGCTTTGGCGAGTTAACACAAGGCATTTTGACCATCCGGTAGCCCGTGTGGTTTTTTAAAATCCGGCCGGTCTTTGCCTTGGGCCCTTTCCCCTCACTACTCGAGGGTAGGCTATCTTAGGGGCTGACCTTCATAAGTCAGCTGACATAGGTTGTTAGACTAACTCTAAGGAAAGACCACTTTTTGTAAAGCTACTTCTGTGCCAGATGTACCTTCCTGGACATCATGGCGCGGATAAGAGTAAGATTACGTGTTGATGGCAACCAAAAGTCGGTGAAAGAAATTCTAGCATGTATTTGCTCGAATTCAACTGTTGCTCCAGTGGATGTTTTTACAACTCTCGCTGGGGTAGTACTTCTCCTCTCTTCTGAAGAAGAGTTACTTCAACTACTTAAGCAGGACGTCCTGGACAAATTGAAGACTTAGTATCCATCCAATTGCACCTGAAAGCTATCAAGCTCAGCAAACTGTGTTTGTTGCCAGAATTAACAGCATCATGAGAGATAGCACAGTGAATGAACTTATTACTGACTTTAATGCAGAGAATTCAGAATTTCATGCTGTCCAAGCACATAAATTTTCTAAACCTGACAACAACCAGGAAACATTAAAGTTAATACAACCCAGGGCAACATGGGTTTAGAACAGGTCGCTCCTGTCTGTCTCAACTACTGGATCACTACGACAAGGTCCTAAATGCACTAAAGACAAAAAGAATGCAGATGTAATATATACAGACTTTGCAAAAGCCTTCGACAAGTGTGACCATGGCGTAATAGCGCACAAAATGCGCGCTAAAGGAATAACAGGAAAAGTTGGTCGATGGATCTATAATTTCCTCACTAACAGAACACAGAGAGTAGTCGTCAACAGAGTAAAGTCCGAGGCAGCTACGGTGAAAAGCTCTGTTCCACAAGGCACAGTACTAGCTCCCATCTTGTTCCTCATCCTCATATCCGACATAGACAAGGATGTCAGCCACAGCACCGTGTCTTCCTTTGCAGATGACACCCGAATCTGCATGACAGTGTCTTCCATTGCAGACACTGCAAGGCTCCAGGCGGACATCAACCAAATCTTTCAGTGGGCTGCAGAAAACAATATGAAGTTCAACGATGAGAAATTTCAATTACTCAGATATGGTAAACATGAGGAAATTAAATCTTCATCAGAGTACAAAACAAATTCTGGCCACAAAATAGAGCGAAACACCAACGTCAAAGACCTGGGAGTGATTATGTCGGAGGATCTCACCTTCAAGGACCATAACATTGTATCAATCGCATCTGCTAGAAAAATGACAGGATGGATAATGAGAACCTTCAAAACTAGGGAGGCCAAGCCCATGATGACACTCTTCAGGTCACTTGTTCTATCTAGGCTGGAATATTGCTGCACTCTAACAGCACCTTTCAAGGCAGGTGAAATTGCCGACCTAGAAAATGTACAGAGAAGTTTCACGGCGCGCATAACGGAGATAAAAACACCTCAATTACTGGGAGCGCTTGAGGTTTCTAAACCTGTATTCCCTGGAACGCAGGAGGGAGAGATACATGATTATATACACCTGGAAAATCCTAGAGGGACTAGTACCGAACTTGCACACGAAAATCACTCACTACGAAAGCAAAAGACTTGGCAGACGATGCACCATCCCCCAATGAAAAGCAGGGGTGTCACTAGCACGTTAAGAGACCATACAATAAGTGTCAGGGGCCCGAGACTGTTCAACTGCCTCCCAGCACACATAAGGGGGATTACCAACAGACCCCTGGCAGTCTTCAAGCTGGCACTGGACAAGCACCTAAAGTCAGTTCCTGATCAGCCGGGCTGTGGCTCGTACGTTGGTTTGCGTGCAGCCAGCAGCAACAGCCTGGTTGATCAGGCGCTGATCCACCAGGAGGCCTGGTCACAGACCGGGCCGCGGGGGCGTTGACCCCCGAAACTCTCTCCAGGTAAACTCCAGGTAAACTCCAGACACCTGAAGAAGCCAAACTAGTGTGTCAAAATGGCTTCAAATGTTTTGGCACCAGATGTACACCTGACCAAATCTCTCTTGAGCGGTTTGTCAGTTACACAATGTTACAAATGTTACGCATTTGGTCATACCACCAACAAATGCAGTACCCAAGCACTGATTTGCAGCATATGCTCTGGGCAACATTCTTTTAAAGATTGTAATAATAAAATTAAACCCAAATGTGCCCTTTGCAATGGAAAGCATCATGCTGTTTCTGCTATCTGTCCCGAGAGGAAAAAGGAAATGCAGAAAATTCTTGAAGCTAAGAAACTGTCCAATTCTAAGAAGAACACTCCCGAGGCACCTCCAGCAATGTCCCAAACTTCCTTCCCAGCCTTGCCTGGATCTAGTGGGATTCCTCAGGTCTCTTCCACTGGTTCTAATGTTTGGAATTCTGCCCCTCTTGGAGTGCCCCAATCTAACCCTCACCTACAACATACACAAACCCAACAACAAGGTTCAGTCTCACCTCCCATGTCTCAGGTATCCTCAGCCGGGGATATGACGAGAGCGAAACTAATATATATGATGGCCAAAGACATAGCAGGTGGTGACATTCAACTCTGCTCTAAGATTTTAAATGATTTGTTAATGGCTAATGGGATCACTCCCATTACTATCCCAGATAATGTTAGGGTTATTATGGCCCAGCCTTCTCATAACAAGAAGTATGTACCCTACTCTACTTCTACAAATAAGCCTAAGTCATCCCTTGTCCAGGGATCACCCACCTCGCATACCCAGGTTGTCAACTCCCCTCAACCCGATGAGTCATTACCTGACCCCAACGATGCCACAGAGATTGATGCTTACTCTTCCGCTATTGCAGCTGATCCTGTTGAACAGGAACTTTCCCAGGATAATTCACCTGGCCTACCAAATTTTCCCTTGGAGCCTCCACAGTCTCCCATTAACTCTCATGAGCCTCTGCTTCCTGAAACTGGGAATATCACACCTCAGTTTTATGATGATGACTAATGATTCTGTTAACATTACCAATTCTAGTGAGGATGATGACACTTTTAATACACAAGCAACTACGCAGAACTTCCCTCCTCCCCTTGACGAGTCCAGCAGGGATAGTGTGGATATCAAACATGACATTACATGCAGGCGTTCAGACCGCAGTACACGTGCGAAGTGCAAGAAATAATGGGGATTACAATCTTCCAACTTAATGTTCAACATTTCTTTAACAACCGTTACCTCCTTGAAGCTGAACAACATAATTACAATCCCGATGTTATACTCTTGAATGAGACAGCTGCAAGAGTTGATCAACATATTAAATTACGTGGTTACTCTACTGTGGAGAAATCGAGGACCCTTTAGTGGTGTATCCATCTTAGTTAAATTAGGCTATACATTTAAAAATATTCTTGCAATAGAAATGACAACGTCTCATGGACAACTAGTGATAGGAACTGGATATTTTCCCCCGAGACAACAACATATAGAGTCAATTCCTCTACATAGGATATTAAGCAGAAATATTCCAACAATTCTAGCGGGAGATTTTTAATGCTCATCACCCTGCCCTTTTTAACTGTGGAGTTGGTATTCCACTGGGTGACTTGAAAGGAAAACAACTATTTAATATCATGACAGCCAGAAACTTGTCATTTCAAGGCCCATTCTTTAAATCGTATATTGGTCCTCATCCAGGGACACCAGATATAGTCCTGACAAACAGAGACTGACTTCTTTCATTGTCGTATCTCTCCTGGTGGAAACGTAGGTTCTGACCATATCCCTGTTAT